TATATTTATTAATTTTAACGAACACTAACGGTGCAATTTGATTAACTAGATCTTGTTGAAAAGATCCAAGGCAGTGCCGTTCACGACTTTGCAGCAGTTCAACTCCGATTGATATTGGCAATTATAATTCAGGTTATCATGCAAATAGTTTTTTTTTTTGTAGAGACAAATAGTTTTTTTTTAAATGTTCAATTATATTCTAGTGCTTTAAAATAAGTAATGTTACGTCAAGTTCTTAACATAAAAGCTAGTTAATTAATTTGAATATATTAAGAAAACTAGTTAAATTAGTTATTTATAATAAGTAGGTGTTGTCTTTCTTAAAATATTCTTTTAGTTTTAAATATAAGACCCCAATTCAATTTGGTTCTCATATTTATGTATTTTTTTAAGGTAATCCTTTAATAATAGTAGTTTTAACTAATACACTTAATTAGTAAGGATATTTTAGAAAAAACAATATCTACTTATTACAAATAACTAACTTAACTTCTTTTTTTAATCTACTCAAATTAGTTAACTAACTTTTATATTTAAGACTGAAGGTAGTATTAAGTATCATGTTACGGAAATTTGATAAATTTGGTTGTCGGCCATTGCTGGTAGGAAACAATTCAAAGCATTAATTAAGACCGAAATTGAACAAAGATTGATAAGGTCAAAATCAAATGTCCTGTGCAAGACATCGACTGAGACAGAAGTGATCAACGATCAATATTATGGCAATTAGTGCCCTACTGCCTCACCTGTTCTCCTTTATCCTAACATCCACAATCTCTCATCATTGTTTCTGAATTTGGTTTATAATCAGTTTTTTTTTTTAAACCTATCATAAGAATATAAATAGCTGTTTTCGTACATTTTATTACAGTTAATCAATAATATTCTTAACCATTGTGACATAGTAAATACTCCTCTTGTTCTATTTATAAGACAGAGAGATAAGATATTTTTTTATCCTATTTATAGGACACTAAGAGAAATTTTTTGTATGGATGTACAATTTTACCCCTCGTTTATTATTGTGTTGATTTTATTTATATGAAATATAATATATATTAAATATAAATAAAATTGGCAAGTCATTTAATTTTAAATGAAAGTTAATGAAATTTAAGATTTTTCTTTGTATGCGTGAAATATATTGAAAGTACCTTATAAATAAGACCAGAGGAGTAAGATCTTGCCTTGAGATTAGAGAAGGCAGCATAAAATTACATCATGGGACCGTATTTTATAATTTATTTCAAGCCTAAACAAAGTCACACATACTATGTTTTGTCACTCACTCTTATAATCATTTTTACAATACAAGGTAAAGATACACAATTTTTGTCATGTTTATAAATCACATTATTAAATTCTTAGCATATATATATATCATTTTATCTTTAATTTTATTTTATTAGATAGTGTATATTAAATAGAGATAAAGTTAAAAATGCTAAAATTTCAAGGTAGCCTTAACAAAATTTAAATTTTTTTGTAATAAAATATATTTAAAATGACTTATAAATATAACTATATAAATATTAAAGACTACGCAGAATCAATAAAATTATTCAAAAATCAATTATAAACCTGCGAGAGTCAATGAATTAAATCCTCTCCTTTAGAATAAAAACAAACTTTATTTCGTACGCGCTTTATTTTTTGCGGGCGTGGGAGAGTTGAGCAGTGGGGGGCTTTTTTTTTTTTTTTTTGCCCTTTTCTGGCCTGGAAGAGACACCTTGTTTTGTTTAAATGTTTAAACCAAGAAAGGTTGAAGGAGGAGTTATGAGTACATGGTCATATATGGCATATATCGATATTCGTTTCGTGCTCTAATTGGCTACGTCACTTCCCATATTAACAATAACATTAAAGGAGCTCAGTGTGCTGTTCCACGATGCTGCATATATCATCGTAAAATGAGGGTTTTCAAATTGTAACTATAAAAATTTGAGCCGTAAATTTAAAGTTGTCAGTTGCAAATAGGTCCTTATTTTCAGGGGTGTTCACGGGACGGATCGGGACTGGGACATGTCCGTCCCGATTCCGTCCCAATGAACAGTAACGGGACAGGTTTTCTGTCCCGTGTTCCGGCCCGTCCCGGGGTTGTCCCGGTCCTGGTCGGGACGGGACGGATCCGGGACGGGACCAGGACGTCTCGAAATTAATTTTTTTTAATTTTTTTAAATTTTTTTTTAAAAACCTGATTTTTTTTAATTATATTGTTTTGAGCTTAAATCTTATAAAAACATCTTTTTTATTTGTTTGGACACTCTTAAACAAAAGCTCAAAATATTACATATAACAGTCATTAAAAACTTTAAACAAAAGCTTTTAACACAATAAAAACTTGCTAAAAATTCTAATTATCAATAATCTCAAATCATTAACAAATATAAAAACTCTAAATAAATATATCTATAGTTCCATACAATAGTCTCAAATCTTAAAAAAAATATGAAAAAAATGATATTATATAAAAAATTAAAAAAATTATAAAAATTATAAAAAAAAAGGAACCGGGACGGAACAGAAAACCTATTTTAATCATAAAAATGACATCTAAGGACGATGCAAATAGTCCACTCCTATTTTAATCATCCACTTATCTGTATTCATTTCAAAGTCAACTTCTTTCTTTACTCACCCATTCAACTCCATTTCATTTCATTTACTGGAAAATAGATAGTACTCTATTTTTTAATATAAAAGTTATTTAACTACTTTGAATAGATTTAGAAAGCTAAATAAATTATTTAATTATAATAAATGTGACATCATTTTCAGAAAATACCCCCATATAATATTATATTATATATCAGTTTATAAATTAAATGAATTGATTTAAAAATTGAGTTTTTTTTGGATAGGTACAGGTATTTTTTTATTGGAGTTAATTTTATTCGAGGTATTATCAAGCATTAAATGTGAACACCTCTCTTATTAGGAATTTGAATCGTGGTTCATTATGTTATAGAAGATTAGCTCCTTCTGCTGCTAGACCCAATCTAGTTGGTATTTGAAGAAAAATAAGGACAATGAGAAATAAAATTGATCAGAATCCTATATTTAAACTCAAAATCAACTTCTTAATTAATTTCTATATTTAGATTTGACAGTAGTACATTATTCCAACTCTAAATTACATTATCTTTTTCAGCAAAATATGACAAAATTGTACTCAATATTCTTTCCGTTTCAAGAGCATTACATGACTTGTTCCCTTGACAGTTTGATTCGTAAAAATAGCTAAGAGAAATGATTCAGTGCCGCATGGCATTTAAAACAAAATTACGGTGTCACGCGCGCGCGCGCGCACACAAAGAATGTAAAATCAGTTTATAATCTGGTGAAGGAAAACAAACATGCTGCGAGTCAAACGGGTCAACCGTCAATGGGCCGGATCGCAAACTATGGACCGCGTTCTAACCTGTTAGGGAAAGGGCCAGATTTTCAAACTATCGCTCCTTTGTCTGGGCGGTCCGCGGAGTTCTAGACGGTAAACCCAGATCCAACGGGCAACAGTAAAAGTGCAAGTTTTGATAAGACATAAATGTCAACGGCAAGTTTGAAAATTATATTTATCTTTGTTATGTGTGTGTGTATTTGGTAAAAAAAAAAGATTATGCGTGTGTGTATATATTTCATGTCTGTTGCCAAAAAAGAAAATTTTTCACCAACATATTGCCTCTTTTTTAAGAGATGTGTCCTAAACGCACATATTTCTTTTACTAATGATTAAAACAAATTTTTTAATTTTTAATATTATTGAATTAGTTATCTAATTCTTACGTTTAGAAGGGAAATATTTGGTATGTTATTAGATCGATTAAGTTAATAAAAAGTATCATTTTCAGTTTCAGAATGTCAATTGCCAAATGACTCTGACTATGAAGTTGCACCATGCTATGGGAAAGGATGGAAGAATCTAGACCCATATAGGTTGAGAAAATTAGCTAAAATTTTTTTTACCAATAAGAAAATTAAATAAATTAGTTATTTTTCAAATATATGTATTAATTTTTCAAAATACCCTCTTAAATTATCAGCTTCAAAATTATTTCTTGATGCAAACTCTATTAATATACATACCCAGTACATATGTAATTAATTAATAGGGATAGTGTGGTAACCAACGGGGGTTGGATCTAGTGGAGGGTTAGTTCCTCACAATATGGTGAATCAAGGTTTGAATCCCCATTAGGAGAGGTACCCACATTCAGTGTCTGACAATGCATTGAATAAGATTGCCTCTAATAAGAAGATACCTATGCTTTAGGGGAAAAAAAAAAGAAGGGATAATTTGGTATGAATAATAAGTATGAGGGGCAAAATGAATTAAAATTTTACAATTAGAACCAAACTTAACCACCGTGCATTGAAAATCCTAGACTTATCACTATCTGAATTAATATATACCGTTTATTCTTGTTTTTATTTATTGCCATCGGCGACGGCTACCAACTCGCTTTTGGGATCTCACTGTTATTGTCATATTCCCTTATCTTCCATCATATTTTAATTTTGATTGATTTATTTTATATTCTACTGATGATTCCATATGATGAATTTAATGGGAAATTTTCTTGTTTTCTTAGTTCTCATAAAATATAAAAGAACTTATTTTAAGTGTTCCCAAATCTAGCCTGAAAGAAGATAAATGTGCTTATTAAAGAAACATAAAGAATAGCATTGAAGTTAAATATATCATTCGTCTACAAAAGAAAGTTAAAGATAATTCCATATTTATGGATTTAATTACAGTTAGCATATGTATATATATACACTACCTCCAGTCTTTAATATAAGATCTTATTTGACTTTTATTTTGGTCCTAAATATAAGACTCTAATCCACTTTATCTCTCATATTTATACTTTTTTTTTTCTAAAGTAGTCATTCTAATAATAGTAGTTCTAGCCAATACACTTGATTAGTAAGAATATTTTAGGAAAGACAAAACCTATTCAGGATAAATAACTAACTCAACTTATTTTCTTAATTTTCTTAAATTAGTCAACTAGCTCTTATAATTTGGACCGGAAGTAGTATATAGTAAATGTCAAGGGTTAGCGTTTGTTGAAATTAACTTGTTCTCTTGAGCAATGTGAGGCGTTGAGCACACTGGAGGAAGTCTCTGCACATAACCACACGTTTTAACACTAATTAGTTTGGTGCCTAAAAAGCACTAATTAGTTTATTTCTTTCAATTAAAACATGAAAAGTATTATACACACATGCGCACACACACACACACACATATAAGAGGAGCTACGGCATTCCGTGACAAACTCATTTCGGATTACGTGCAAAATATGCACAATGGAATGTATTTTTAATTTTAAAATTAAATAAAATCAAGAACCAAAATCAAAATTTCAAATAAAGTATACTTTTACAACTAAAGTTATTTCATTTGATTGCTGCAAAAATTTAGTTCATCACTAGCTAATATTAAAGTGTGTGTGTGTAGGACCATTAAAAGTTAAAACCATCCATATAGAAGCCAAATCCCTCTAATACATACATGCCTAATTAATTGCTTTTCCTTTTCATATTCATAGATAACTGAATTTGTGTTTCCGTGTTTAGTAAATGAGGTGGTTCCTGTGAGAATAATATACTCAAACCAATCTGTAAAGCTAAGTAAACAATGAGATTAAAAGCACTTACTTCCATGGCAGATCCTCGGCGAGCAACCAGTCACCTTCTTTGTCCTGATAAGCTAACTCATAGCACTCTGAATTTTGATGACCTGTTTTTGCATCAGTCAATTCCCAATCAGTAATCAAATCTCTATATATCTCATCTCCTGCAAATTTCATTAATCACACAAAAACACAGCAGGCACCTACATTTTCCAAACATGGCCATCAAGGTTTCCTTCAGCTTCTGAAAAGAATGATGCAGGCTAAGATCAACCTTTCGTCCAATTCCTTCTCCCTCCATCTTCACTTTAACGTATTGACGAATTTCCGCCATGCCATCTTCTTCAACCCGAACCTTCTTCCTCTGCGACATCAATGGCGGCCACCCGACTGCTGCAGAAGATTCTCCACCATCATCCCCATCATGTCTGCAGATTAATTCACAAACACGCGCACACTTTCTTAATATATACACACACGTCTCTTTACGTATATAATAACAACCAGTATAACTTAAACCAGTCGCAGAAGAGAAGGTAGGTACTTGGTGACGATGGAGCAGCTGTTACGGAGGTCTTCGTCGTCAAGGTCAGCTTCGTGGGAAGGTGTTAAGGGAAGGAGAGGCAGAGTGGGAAGCAAGACGTCGCCGTCGCCGTCTCTGTCTCTGAGACAGTCATGGTGAAGGAGATCACTGAAACTGCGTTTCTTATGAGACACTGAGAATGAAGTGAAAAGATCATGATCGGAATCAAAGGGGGTGGAGAGAGAGAGGCCTAGTTGAAGGTCCATGCAAGAAGAAGAAAGAAAGAAAGAAGGAATGAAGATGGCTGAATTAAGAGAGTACCAAAAGAAGAAACAAGTGTGAGGAATTTAAGAGACGAAGGCTTTTAAATTTAACAGAGAAGAAGAGAGAGGGGAGAGAGGGAGGGTTCGGAGAAACAGAAGGTTGAAGTGTCATTGTCGATGTAGGGCTTTTAGCCGACCGAAGTGCCTGCATGAAGCTTCATTGTTTACTGAACAAAAGATCAACAAAAATATTAAATATGAATGAAAGATATTGATTGTTACAAATCCTGTGATCCAACCCCCCCATCACAAGCAATTGCTGGTACTCTCTTGTTTTCCCTGTAGGCAATTAATTGTTTCACAAGTAGTGGACACCTTCATATATCAGTGAGTAATTTGTTTCCTTTATAAACTTTATGTAGTAAGTACCTTTCCCATCTTACTGATCATAGAATAAAGCTAAGAATGGGTTACTTTGTAATATTACCCTCGGTTGAAATTAATAATTACAATAAAAAATATTCTCTCTTGGTCCCTGAGACCTAATTAACTGGAAAAAACATTAACTACCATATTCTTGCCATATACTGAGAATTAAGTAGGTTTTAAAACTCTATCTTATAATTAGGAGGGGAGGGAGTAATTTGAGATTAACGTAATTTTTAAAATAAAAGGTTATCAAAAAGAAAGAGCGGTGTGGAAACATTTTTTTTGTCTAAAATAAACAGTTTTATTCATCCAACAGTGAAAATAATGAGAACAAAATTGTCTTCATTAGTGCAACAAAGCATATAAAGCCATTGCTCAAATAGCAAGTTAAGTAGAAAGCCATCGTTTTGTCTCAATTGTCATTTCAAACATATAATATTAGAACGAGTCTCGTGATGAGTTCGTATAAGATTTAAGATAGGTCTTTGCATACACGCATGAATTTTTGAAATATATATTTAAAATCTATTATATATTGATCGATATTGATTTGTGACTGCCTAATAAGAAACTTTTAAAAAAATCCGCAAAACTCATTAAATATATTCGTTACAACAACTTTGCAAGCTACAAAATCCAGCTTTAGATATTTGTGGATATAAGGTCAACTTATATAAGCCCTTTAGATTAGATTCTTGGAGGAAACCCTGAGCACTAAGATCAAACTATAATGTGTGGGGGATTCTGCGAGAACTTTGATGCTAGATTATATAAGCCCTTGATAGATTATTTATATATATCTATCTGACCAACAATAGGTAATTAATAATAATGGAATAGAATAATGAGGATCTTGTATACGTGTTTGTGTCAAAATCAGACACAAAGACAGAGCAGGAACCAAAGGCGGACAAGAGAAACCGACAAAGGCAGATTCATTATCCAAACTTTGCCCCCAGAAATTAAAGTGACCATAAGAAAACGTCCAACACATTCAATAAAGTAACACAGCATATGTTCCCTATGTGATTTTTCTTGTTTTCTGGGTTCTGTTTGTTTGAATTTTATTTATGTGTTGCAAGGTCAAAAAAGAATCTTGTTTATGTGTTGCACACTTCAACTTCCACAGTTTTTAATCTAATAATTGATTGATTGATATTTTCTTTGAATTTTAGGAAACTATAGTAGCATACTGTATCTCATTTTTTACTGCAAGAAAAAAAACACGCTAAAGGATATGATCTGGGATCTTACGGATGCATTAATTAAAGTCCTTTAATGCTAAAAATACTTGCAATTTTGTAACCATACGAGAGTCTTCTTAAAGTTAGAGGTGTAGAGGTGTGGACATCTATTTGGACACTATGAAATTGTTTTTCATAATTAGTGACTGTAATTGTCCAAGTTAGTTGTTTGAACAATCTCCTTTACATGAAGTTTTTGAAACTTATTATGCTGATATTTCTTGAATTGTTATAGTTCAACTATATCCCACGGTTGATGATCCCTCTGATGGAGAACCTTTTGGCTATTTAGCAAATCTTTCTTTTGGAATTCAGCATCTTAGAAAAAGATGTATTGTCCATTTATTAAGGTGTGTTCAGTAATGATTTTTTGAGTTTTCTAGTTCTAGTATTCAAAGATAAAAAATATAATAAAATTTATGCTGCTCACTTATCATTAAAATTTTTTAATAATTATATTTTTGTAGATTTTGCAGTAATTTTTTCCCTTAAAAAAATAGATGAAGGGTGAGGAAAGAAGAAGGTAGTCATTCGGTGCTTATCACGACAATAAGCATCATATGTTTATCAATTTAACTCAATCTAGATAATCTAAAATCTAAATTTTTAATAGCAATTTTTAACAAGAAATTTATTTTTTTTAAAAAAAGGGGTCAGTTATGCGGTTATTTTTACTTTGAATTCTATATCTTTCATAATAAAAAATATTAATTAAAATATATAAAATATTTAATTGATGATTGAAAATTGATCTTATTAGTTTAAATTAAGATGAGTACTCAATACTTATCACCGTGATCAGCATGCAATGTGCTGCACAAGGCAGGGCGCGGGGCGCCACAAAGCAAGAATTGAGAAAGAGGTTGGTGTGAGAGTGTAAGGAAAGGAAAGGACGGGAGTAAAGGCACACGGATTCCACGTGACGCCAACCCCAACCCAACCCTACAAGCTCGCCACCCACCTGCAACGCCGACTTCATCATCTTCTTCGTCAAGCAGAGAGTCGCAGTTAACACAGACTTGGGCGGAAGCCCACGTGTCCCGATGGTCCAACCCCACAGAGGCAGGACCACTCTGTCTTTGAAACCCTAATAACTGTGATTTTTGGGCGGTCGGCAATGGAGGGCGAGTCGCCATCAAAGTTTGTGTGTGTGTGGTTTGGGGTTGTGTTGGCTGCCTGTGTTGAAGTTTAGGTCAAAGGAGGGCCGAATCATGGACGCTTAACAACCCACTCTATTCGTTTTGCCCCGTTTTGGATGGCATTATTTATTGATGATTGCTTGGTGGGTCCCCTCTGATTCCCAATTCCTTCCTTAACCATCTTTCATTGTTGCAGATGCAAAGTGACTTCCCTATATGTTCTTCTTTTTCTAAGTCTGGTTCTCAGTTTTCCCCCCAACACCCCCCTTTCTTTTTAAATTTTTTTCCCATAAGTGTTCAACTAACTCCATAAATTAAATAAGCTTGATCCTATCAAGTATGCTGGGTTAAAATTTTTTTTTCCCTTTCTAATTTTATACAATCAAACATATGCATGCAGACATGTTTGAGATTTCATCCAAACATAACACGCACTGCCATTTAGATGCTAAGACAAGATCAAATGCCATCTGGTTCTAGGATTTAATGCCAACATTAAAATTTAAGGATAACTTTTGTTTTGTTATAAAAAATTAAAAAAATTATAACTTTCGTCAACAACAAATCAATCAAATTTATTTTTAAAAATAGAATTGAATAGGTAACCTGGGATCACCAATATCACTCAGAAATGACTCGGAATAGGAATAATATCGTTACAGCAGCCCAGAGAGAAAATGTAGGCCAACAAAAAGGGCAAAAGAACAAAGCGGATATTTTAAAGGATATTGATGCTTAGTGAAAGATTAAGACCATTCTCCCTTAAGGCCGTGCATAAGCTTGGTCGGCTCACAAAGGAAAATGATTGGATGAAGTCAAGTATTTTCATTAATTTGATGTTACATCCGACCAAAATGCACATACAAAAACTGAAGTTTTTTTTAATTAAAAAAAAGATGTCTGATGGGAAGCGAAAGTGAAGGCGGGTTGGAACTTGGAAGCAAAGCATGGATCCAAGGCCCAAAACGAGGTCCATTCTTCATAGCCTCCATCTTCTTCATGATTGCCGCTATCCATCCCAAAGCATATTTCACAACGAGTTTTTTGCAGACATATACATGGAAAATTTGGAAAAAGCCTTTGCTAAAAATTTTATTAAGAGCCACTTGAAATGACTTATAAATAATTTTTTAATCATGATTTTATGAAATAGGAGGTAAGTATGTGAGAAGAGTTTTGTCTCGACTTATATAAAACGTGTTTATGAATGCTTTTGAATGTGATTTCAAACAGACCGAAATGTGGGCAAAATTTACAATGTATTGCAATTTATTAGGTCCTTCTCAGGAATAAAATTTTTAAATACTTCGAAATCTATGGCTCTTCAAAATTATGATAGTACTCCTCCGGTTCTAATTATAAGACCCAATTGACTTATTTGAGGAGATTAAGGAAGTAAGTTAAGTTGGTTATTTATAATAAATAAGTGTTGTCATTCTTAAAATATCCTTACTAATTATGTATATTGGCTAAAACTATCATTATTAGAAGGATTATCTTGGAAAAAAATGCATAAATATAAGAAACAAAATGGATTGGGTCTTATAATTAGGACCAAATAAAAAGTCAAATTGGGTCTTATAATAAGGACCGGAGGAGTAATACATATCAAAGAGACAGAAGAGACTCATTATGCTTTAACATTTGAAGTTTCACAGATAAGCTTCCTAAATTTTAAATTTATATAACTTGTATGGTTATATCAATGACATCTTAAATTTTAAATCATTTCGAACCAACTTCTTAAACTCGTGTCATATATTCATACACATGACGGGTGATTTACTCAAATTTAAAAAAATTCAATGTCAAATTTTTAATTTTTTTTTAAAAAATCCACACGTCCTTTGGAGTTCAATATCCCCAGACCAACTCAATTCAATAATAGACTTCTTTTTGGCTTTCTGTAACAAGCTGGGCATCTAACATTCCAATAGTAAAAACAAAGAATGAAGAACCAAAAAAAAATTGTTAAGACTGAAACATACTGATTCAAAGTGGGGTGCAAGAAGCCAAGGAGAAGGACATACAAAACCACTTTTTATGCAGAGGGTGGGGGCTCCATTGTGGAATGATTGAGGGGAGAAGGGACTACTTTCACTTTACAGAGTAAAGTTTCATGTAATTTGCGGGGGAAATAACAAAAGATGGAATATTATAACGCCCTAGATTTTTATGTGCAAATCAATTGTGAACAAATATTCAGTAATTCTGCTCAAAGGTGTGCAATTGAAAGTGAG